TAGTTATACATTACATTTTTAAGTGAGTTGGATAAGCATACTATCCCCAAACAAGAGTAGAAAAATACATACAGCATAGCAAAAATAACTATAAATTTTTATCAATAAACCAAATTCCACACAAGTGTAAAATATTTTGAGATTAATAGTTGATTTTTGGATTAAAGTAGACTCAATAATCTACCCTTTTCTCTATTATTCCTATGTCATGTCCCTCTTTTTTACTTTAGAAAGAAATCTTTGAATTTAACTCTTTTATTTAGCTTTTCTGACTATGATTAATAACAACATGTAACAAACCCCTTTTTAATGGCATATATAAATATAATGACAAATCATCCATTGAATAACAAAAACCAACCCATATCCCATATATTGGGAATGTGGGCATCATTCTCTAGATGCTGTCTGTGGGCGCTGGTATCTTTGGGGAACTTTCAGAAAAATCAGAATAATTGTTCGGTCTTGACTGGATTAGTTTTCGAGGATGGATCATCTCAGCCAGCAGCCTGGAAGCTGTTTTGGATGCAGAATTCTGAGGAGACCGCAGCAGAGGCATTTTGAGATGTGGGATCACCTGGACCACCCATTTTCATTTGGTGTCTGGTCCCATAGTTCGGAAAATACATAAGCCTTTAAAGATGCCATATATGTCTACAGTAATATAGATATAGACTGTGTGTTGTTCACAGGTTAACCAAAGATGATTTTTGTTTTGTTTTATGTCCCAGCAGGTAAGATATACATCGTGTGTTCTGTAGCTTCTTTGGGTTCATTCCTTTATGTCTATAGCCATAATTTTCGGGGGGGGGAGTTCTTCCTCCATGAAACCTGATCCACATCGGCCTGGAATGAATCCACAGCCTCTCATTTCTCCATGGAAATAAAAACGTAACCTCTTCCCCAAAGTAACGTATCTTTTGGCTTACATTTTGAAGACATTAAAAAAATGCATAGATTGGTTTATACAGCAGTTTCTGTAATCCAGTGTCTCAGAGCAGCGTAGGCCCCTGTACCTGCGAGTGCCCTGTCCCCCAGCTCATGCTAATCCCATATGACACAGCCCCCACCCCGGCCTCACCTATGAAGCCTGCTCCGGTGCTCAACACACTCTAGTGTACCCAACCCGTCTCCCTGTGCACCCACCACAGGTCGCTAGGTCTGCAAGCCTTCCCGGCAAACGTGTCGGTCCTTATCTTTCTCTGGCCATCCTGAGAAAGACATATACACATGTCTTTAAAAACAAAAAGCCAGGCGTTGGTGGCGCACACCTTTAATCCCAGCACTTGGGAGGCAGAGGCAGGCGGATCTCTGTGAGTTTGAGACCAGCCTGGTCTACAAGAGCTAGTTCCAGGACAGCCTCCAAAGCCACAGAGAAACCCTGTCTCGAAAAACCAAAAAAAAAAAAAAAAAAAGTTCAAGTGACACCTCCCATAAAGATGGGCTCTGTAGATTGGCTAAGAAGAAGAAACTTGCGATGGGGTGGGGGAAGGGTGTCTGGTGTGGCTTTCAGCCCACCCAGACAGTGCAAAGTTCCGCCAGGGTGGAATGCATGCCTCTTCCCAGCCTTCTGGGTGAGTAACAGGCATCACGCTCCTTCCCTTGAAGGGACAACCCTGTGTGCTGCCATTCCAAATTCCCCGAATACACATCTGCGAGCACGAGGCTCTCCTTACACCAATTCACCTTCACCTAATGCCGCTTCACCTACTACTGTACTGCCTTGTTGGGGGGGAGTATTTGATCACACTGTGAACCCCAAGTTTGCATTTGCATTGACTAAATACAATTAGCATTGAGTCAGGAGGTGGAGTAAGCAACTAGTTGTCAGGAAGCCACCACAGACCATGTAGCGGGCACCCAGGAGAGACAGACACAGGAAGTGTGTGGTGGTGGGTGGGTGGGGGGGAGAATTTGGGTGGAGCGGGTTTTTCTGGTGTGGTCATGTGGAGAAGCACGGGTCTTTTGGAGACACCAGAGGGAAGACTCCAGCTACTCAACAACCTCTCTGAGCTCTCAAGTTTTCACCCCGGTCTTTTCAGGCTCCGGTCTTACTTATAAATAGAATGTTTTAGTTAAAGCTAACTTTTAGCGGCAGCAACAGGGCCTGTGGGAGCAGAATTCCTACCAGGCTGTGGCCTGAGCGGCCAGGCCATTGCCGGGGAGTTGCCATTGCTGGCTGAAGTAGCAGTAGATTAACGTGCAGCCACTGAGCCAAAGTTAAAACAACGCAGGTTAAAACCTGAGATTTCCACGAAATCTCTCCTTCTAATCGCTGGCATACCGGGTCACCTGTCTGCCTGTGATCCACTGAATATAACCTGCTGTTCCCCAACCCACTCCAGGTCAGCAGGCTCATTCTTTTTGCCCTGTTTTTTTTTTTTTCTGCCAGTCCACCCTTTCTCATCCCACCTAAGTCTGCCGCCACCCAGACCCTCTTCAATCGAGCACGCACTGCTTCCTAACACACCCCAAACTGCAACTGCAGGCACCACAGCCTGCCCTGTTCCCCAGAGCATCCCTGTCTTTCCAGCCACCCCCTCCCCCGGTAACTCCTCCCCCAGTCCATGCCATGCGCCTCCAGACTTCCCTGTTTCCCCCAGGCCACACTAGCTGCACCAGAGGGCTGATTTCTTCAGCCCAACCCAGTCCTGGGAGCCCTCCCGCGAAGCTCAGCTCCACCCTCCTGTCACTGTCCTCCGGGGGCTCTCCCGGCAGCCCACAGTGTTCAACTCTCTCACGCTATCTGTTTACTCTACCCACGCGGCCCATTATCCACCTCGGCCTGCATGCCCACTGTCCCTCCCCTGCAGGCTGCCCCTCCCCAGCCCCCTCTACACCAATACCTCCTGGCTGCCAGATCACACTGCGTCTGACTCATCTGTGACTCTGCTTGTCCCACAGCTCAAAAAGTTCACCCAGCCCATTTCCCTGGTCCCCTCGGTGAGCTCTGCTCCCCAGCTCATTGACCCCACGGCCTCCTGCCCCTACTGCCTCTGACACACACACACACACATACACACACACACACACACACACACACACACACACACCTTTATCAACCCAGCTTCACCCCCCACCTGCCTCCATTGTGTCCATAGCACCCCATTTACAACTCTTTCTTATGCACCTAGACCACACTGTTCCCCAGCCCGATGCTCTCTATGCTGCCAGCAGTGGCGGCTGTGTTCCCCAGTTCACCCTCGTGATCCAGTGCACGACATTCCCCACCTGACTCCATTCTACCCAGTTGCCCAACTTAGAGTCTACCCCGTGAGTCCTACCCTCCATCTGCCCCTACTCTACCTGGCCGTACCTTCCCTCACGGCACCCTATTCTGGTACCTCCTGGCCTATGTCCCCCTCTGGTCCATCTCTCCTAAATGGGCCTCCAGCCACTAGTGCTCAGTGTGGCCCCAGTCGGCCTGCCCCGCAACGATCTCCAGTGTTCCCGAGTGGTTCCTTGTCCCATTCTACATAAGGTGGCTGTCTGTCAGATCAGTCTGGTCCACTAATGCCTATCCCCAGCCGGGGTCAGCCCTGTTTTCTCATCTCATCTGGCCGTGAGCCCCACTGTGGTGGTTTGGAAGAAAACCAGAGAGAGGAGCACTATTAGGAGGTGTGGCCTTGTTAGAGGAAGTGTGCCGCTGTGGGGGCGGGCCTTGAGGTCTCGTTTCTCAAGCTTCGCTCAGTGGGACAGTCAGTTGACTTCCTGCGCTCTCTCACCAGCACTGAGTGGCCGTTCTCCCCATCAGGGTTACAGCGGACTGAACCGCCGTGTATGTTAAAATGAGCACACCTCACTCTGCGGTGGACCTCAGGGTGTGCATGGGTAACAGAGAGCTCTGAGCATCCTGGGGAGAGCAACAGAACCAGTGAGCTACAAAACTCTTTGTAAGAGTTGCCATGGGAGGAGGGCGGGGAGGGGCGGAGGGGGTGGAGGGGGAGATGGCTCAGTGGTTAAGAGCACCAACTGCTCTTCCAGAGGTCCTGGGTTCGTTTCCCAGCAACCATGAGGCAGCTCTCAGCCATCTGTACTGAGATCTGGTGCCGACTTCTGGATATGTAGGCACACATGCTGGCAGAACACGGTATACATAGTAAATAAATAAATCTTAATTAAAAAAAAAGAATTGCCATGGTCATTATGTCTGCTCACAGGAATAAAAAACCTACCTGAAACGCCACATTCCCTAACTCAGGTAGCCCAGGCATTCCCCAACTGAACCTCTTTCATCACCAGGATCCTATCCTGGCCATCCCCACCCTCTTCGGTCTCCTGGGTGCCTGGGGTGTCTTGGATCTGATGTTCTTGTGAGCCTGTCCGCGTGAAGCCATATTGAAACCACAAACCTAAATATACGATGTTTATAACTGCCTTGTGCTCTTGGGAATGAGTTTACTTTTTTTTTTTCCTGTTTAACAAAGCTTAATATGCATTGAGCATTTATATGCCTCCCACACAGACACATGCCTATATCTTTTGGCCAATTGAGGATAATTTATGAAGACCCGGTCAATTTTCCAATTTGATTCTGCACCTCTAATAACAGACACTGCGGGCTGATTCACAGGAAACATTTACTAACTGGTGTTTGAAAAGGTGTGTGAAAGGACTTCAAGTCATGGACCTGTGCTAACGGGAGAGATGGCCATTCTGTACTTAACATCTGTATGTGGACATTACTGTCCTGAGACAGTTAACGTCGGAGCAAAAACCAAATTCCACACACCGTGTGGTACCGGAACTGCTGAGACCCCAGTCAAGTTCTCCAAGCAGCAAGGGGAATGAATGGGTCACCCTCTGGGTCGCTGATGGAGCAGACAGAGGCAAGGAGCAGATGGAAGAGGGAGCAGCAGGGTTGGGCAGAGCTCTGACCAGCTCCCTGGGGGTGGGGCAAGGGCTGAAGACACACCCTCATCCCCGCCCTCAGAAACCCTTGTGACTCTCCCCTGCTCTGTGATGCAGGCCTGGCACTCTAGTCAAGCCCACCAACCCCCTCAGGATCAGTCACCTCAGGCAGCCATGCTGTTTACACTATGGAGAACATTCTCTCATCTCTCAATAGCCTCGCTGAGACATGGCTGGTCTTTGGCTCAGTTTCCTGTCATGTCGACCTCCACTACACCTTACTGAGTGGGCTGGGGCTGCTGCTTGTGTACGTCTGCTACCTGGTATTGAAACTGGCTGTACCTTCATTGTGGAAAAAGAAATGCACCCAAAAGGTAAGGAAGTGTGGTGAGTTCAAGAGAGAGTCTCCATTGGTGAGGTGCACTTCTGTTCTCTGGCTAAGGGATGAGCTTGGCTGTCTGAGGGGTGTCTGAGATGGAACACTGGGGGGGGGAGAGGAGAGGGGAGGAGAGAGGAGAGGGGAGGAGAGAGGAGAGGGGAGGAGAGAGGAGAGGGGAGGAGAGAGGAGAGGGGAGGAGAGAGGAGAGGGGAGGAGAGAGGAGAGGGGAGGAGAGAGGAGAGGGGAGAGAGGGACGGAGCAGGGAGAAGAGACCCCTGTTCTAGTAGGGCATGAGAGGGATGCAGGAAGGACAAGGGTTTCTGTCTGGCGCCCACAGTACACCTTCCTATCTGTGTGGCTGAGGTTTCCAGGAGAAAGACAAAGCTGGTCCTGGTGGCTTGGCTACACTCTTGTGTTCTCAGAATGAGGCCAGCCTCCCCTGACAGGTGATCTGTGATCTATCCCCACATCACATGATCCGTGATCCCCCACATACATCCCCCCATCACGTGTCCCTTCCCCCACTTCTTCCGTGCTGAACTGGGCAGGGTCACAGTGCTGAATGCTGGTGATGTCTCTGAAGAGAGCATGGAACCCAGTCTTTGACCCTAGGACTCATGAGCCTCAGGAGGAGCACTGGGGGAAACGCTGTCCTCGATAGAACACCACATTGTCCTTCAGTTTTCCACAGGAGGGGTGAAAATCAGTAGCCACTGCCGCACTTACATTAAAATAAGCACGCCTCACTCTTCAGTGGACCTCAGGGTGTGCATGGGTAACGGAGAGCTCTGAGCATCTTGGGAAGAGCAACAGAACCGGTAAGTAAGACCATGAGCTCCTTCTCCCCTTGTTGTTAACAGCTGCAGGAGAAAGCCGAGGGAGCCAGGGAGTCACAGAAAGGTAGGTGTCTGCCTTTGTCCCCATGGCCCCAGGCTCCCCATCCTGTCCTCTCCGTGCAGTTACAGGTCTGTGATCTGAGGATGTCACTTGCTATACACGTGGTCCCTTAGCCAGGAAGAAGCAACCCGTGAAGACAGTCAGACCCAAGACACTTGTCTGAGTCCCCACCCCATTCCCTCGTGCTTGTGAGGCAGGGACAGTCTTGGGCAGTGGACACAGCCCCTCGGGGCTCCTGTGAGATGGGGAGGAGGGAGCAGTGGCTGCTTTGGAGCACGGGTCACATGTCCCCTGCCCTTGTGTCCGGGGCTTCATCCCAGGAGCTCAGACCTGTGAGGCCATCACTGGCCAGTGTATTCTGCGGTGGTTTTGAGTATCACGTGGGGCAACACAGGCGGAAGGACTTGCAATCGGAGCCACACAGGCGTGGACATTCTGAGCGTCCGCCAAGACCACTGCCGTTTTCTACTGGTTCTCTTAAGTGATTTTCTTTGTAAAAAGTTTCATGTATTTATTTACTACACGTGCATGGATGTTTTTCCCTGAATGCGTACTGAGCACCGTATGCATGCCGGGCACCTTCAGGGGGTCAGAACAGTGCATCCTTGCCCGGTAATTGGCTCTACAGGTGATTGTGAGCTACCGAGTGGATACTGAGAACTGCCCCAAGGTGTTCTAGAGGAATCTCAGGTGCTTTTGGCCACCCGGCCATCTCTCCAGACCCTTGAGTGTTTATCTTAAAGGTACTCCTCTGTGATCCTCCTGTCTCTCTTTCCGTCTGTATAAGGTCCTGCTTTTCTAGGTGGGAGCACTGGCCGGAGAGACACTGAGGAAGGGAAGACGCTGCAAAGGTACCTTTCTTCCTCCCATCACCTCCTGGTCCCCCTTCCCTGGGTCTCCACCCTGGCCAGCAGGCGTTCCTTTTCAGTCACTGGACTTGGCTTAAACGCTCTGAACTTCTGTCTCCTTACAGACCCCCGGGCAAACCGTATGATCCCTCTGACTTCCATCTGCTGCCGTGTCCAGATTCCCTCTGCGGTGTAGGTAACAAAGCGAGTGATCAGGCCAGCTGCCTGCTCTCTCGGGCTCCCCTGGAAGATGGTACTGCCTCGACGTTCCAGGTGGCTTCTGCAGCTTCTACGAAGGAGCCCTCATCCACTCTGTTCCCTCGCTTCCCTTCGAGCCTACCAGGACCTCCAGCTTCAGAATCACTCCTTCAACCTTCCCCATCTCCCCTCTCCACCCTCCCACCTAACCTAACCACTCAGGACGGCATACCTTCTCCTACACCACTCAACGCCCCTCCCTTAGGCCCTCCAGTGTTGCTGGGCCACACCCCACGCAAACCGTTGGCCCCCTTTCCAGCCCTGCACGCCACTCAGGAAACACAGTTGGTTCTCCAGCAAGAAGCTCCCCTGTCTTTTGTGGAGAGCCCCACGGAGCTGCCCCCCAATGTCTCAACAGCCAAAGGCGCTGTCTGTAAAGGACAGGCTGTGTCAGCACCCTCCCCGGCCTGGCCCAGTGCCAAAGACCAGCCCTTGACTAAGTTGCCACACATTAATAACCAACCACCTCTAGACCCCCATGGCTCCCAAGCCTCGTACCGGAGACTTACAAAGACCCACACTGAAGAGCCTGGAAACAGTTTGTCTCCCACCCCTGAAGTGTTGCCGCTCTCCAAAAGGCAAGAGGAAGTAGGAACTGACCTCACTGCCTCTGAACATAAGGAAGAGGAAACAGAATCCTGTTCAATGCCGCCAAACAGTTCAGGGAAAATCTCAGCGCCGGTGGCCGGTCCACAGAACATGGAAGTCTCCCTCCTTTTGGGTGATGGAAAAGGGGATCCTCACCTACTCCAGCAGCCCTCTCACCCAAAGGCCTCTGAAGACCAGTCAGAAATCAAGGATGCCCAGTTCTTTTGGGGCCTCCCTTCTCTACACAGTGAATCCCTGAAGCATGAGGCTGAGGCCTCAGGTAACAGTTACTCAGTATGTACCGACTTCAACAAGATGACTAGGATTTCCGCAGGCAATGAATCTGCTGCCTGCACTCACCCAGTACTGCTGCCCTTGCCTGAGAGGGACCAACACGTCTGGCTGCAAACATTGCCCGAATCTCAGACAAAGTCTGGCTCTCACAGCGAGTCTGAGGCCCCTCAACCCCAGATCCAAGACCTGCCACCTTCTCCTCTATCCCAGCTTAGGGTCTGCGGGGTGCGTTTTCATAGCCCCCCAGATGAGGCACAGCCTCTTGGCCCATCTGAATTGAAACGGCTGGAATACAACTTATTACAAAAAACACTGGAAAGTTTGTTGGGTTTACCCACTGTGACCCAAAGATCCCAAGAAAGCATCTGCCCCCCACCTCCTAAGGTCTCCTTGATGAGAAAGTCATTCAAGCTCTGGGATCCCAAGAACATACTGCCTGGAGACTTCCCCATCGCTGTAGAAGTCCGCAGGAAACTGGAGCACCACCTCCGGAAGAGACTCATCCAGCACCTCTGGGGGCTGCCCCACAGGGTCCGGGATTCCCTGTCACTCATGAGTCCTCAGCCAGAGCTTCCTGAGTTCCCTGAGCCATGGAGCAGCCAAGGGCCCTCGCTGATCACTCTCTATAAGCACAACACCAGAAGACAACTATCAGGCTTCGGGATCAGCCAATCTGAAAGTTTCCACAAAGAGATCTTGGCAACACTCCCTCTAAAGGAGAAAGACATGCAAGTTCAGAGAGATGGTCCAGGGACAGACCAAAAAGACCATCTCCAGAGAGACTCCCATGGGGCTGCAAAGAGCAGGGAATTCTCTGATACTGAGACAGACCCAGAACTTCAACCTGGGAATCTGTCTGGAAGGTTTGCAAAGCCTTCATGGATCCAGCAGCACCAGAAAATGCGTGAAACCTTTCTGCAAGAGCGTATGAGCGGGAAAACTAAAGAAACGAGCAGAGGCAAGATCCCTGGCCCTGAAGACAGGGGGCAGCATTCTATCAACGAGGTGGACCCCCCATTTGAGACACCGCCCAGACAGCTGAAAGATCAGGCAGGTGAGGAGGACCCACTGAAAAAACACCAGCAAAGTTTAGCTCTTGATGCTAGCAAAGAAGAGCTGTCGGGAGAGCACATTAAAACATTTGACAACACGATGACCTTTGATCATCCCCAAAGAGTTGAGGAATCCTTAGAGTCCTACAAGACAAGAGTGGAACCACCCCGCTCTCTCTCTCAGTTCCACGCTCCCTCCCACGCAGATCCTGCGGTGGATTCTGTCCAGTCCTCCAGGTTCCCGGAAAGAAGCAGCACTGGTAGAGACGGGATGCAGACATTGAATTTCACGCCCATCCAAGAAGTGCCTCTCCCTGCTTCCTGCCCTGTGAGCCAGGTGCGGCCAGCCTCTGAGAACAAGGAGGTGTTCACAGACAAAGGCACAGCTCAAAGTGGCAGGCAGAGCCCAGAGCTGCCCATGAGACCAGAAGATCCCACAGAAGAGAGACTGGCTTCCAGCACCAATGCACAGGGGCCTCAGGGGGAAAGGCTAAGCTGGAGAGCCGGTCCCATGGCTGAGGGGTCCACGGAGCCACTCAAGGGAGAGCCCACTAAGGTCTTGACATCCACCCAGGGCCCATGTTCCCCAGGGAGAGATTCGACTACATGTCAACCCCTGCAGGGAATGTCAGCCCCCTACAACCCTGGGACATCTGACTACAAAGCTCAGGTGTCCAGAGGAGTCGTGTTGCACTCAGAGAGCAGACCACCCTCAGCCTCAGGAGAAATGACTTCCAAGTGCCAGGGCCCCTCCAGTGGGGACATGGTGGCTTCTCAGGTGCTTCGGGTGCACTTGCCCACTGCGGGAGTCAGCATGGAGTCAGCAGGGCGGGGCCCCTGGTTCCCTGCACATGAGTCAGACAAGTGCCAGAACCAGGAGTGTCCCCCAGCTGCCAAGAGAGAGTCCCCACTGGCAGCTGAGGCAGGAAAACTTGGTGGAGGGGATGCAGGCTTAGGGACATCCCAAACCAGAGGGAAGAGGCGCTCTGTTCAGGCCAGGGCACCAGAGGAAACGCATGGACACACAGCCTCCCTGGCACTGTCACCTAAGGGGCAGCCTCCGGAAAATCATTTCACCAGCCAGGTGAAATGCTTCTTGCAGTGGATGTCCCCTGGACAAAAACACAAAGGGCAGGAGAGGTCCCTGGCCAAGGGCAGCTCCCCATCACCACCAGTGAAGGTCTCAAGCCTCATCAAAGGGAGATGCGATCTTTATAGGAACACTGAAGCTCAGAAGTGTGTGAGAGACCCCGGGGTGATCCTCAGGAAACCACTGGGACACAGGCATGGGACAGTCATCCCCTGTCCCCAGGCACCTGCGCCTCCCCCCGTGGGGTCTGGAGAAACTCAGCAGAAGGAACAGAGGCGTGGCTCCTGCTGCCAAGCTGCCTGCTCCCAAGTGCAGAAGGCTGAGTCCTGCAGCCCAGGAGAAGGGCAGACAGCCCCTAAGAGGTGTGGCGTTGCAGGAAAAGCTGAGATGGTCATCTCCCCCATGCGTGCTTCACAGGGAACCCGAGTCCCGCCCAAGTCCTGTCTGTAGGCATCAAGCTGGCCAGGGTGTCCCCGCTGCCCTTCTCCTCTGTGTTGAAGGCAATGTTGGGAGGTCCGTTACCATCACCCATGCAAATGGATCATCTAGATTTCCTGCAGAATATGTTTTCTACCCAACAATAGGTTTTCCTTTGCTGACAGTGTAAAATTCTCCAATAAACTTCCTGAAAAATGTAGCCTTTTTTTTTTATCCCCATGTGTGGCTTGGGATTTAGATATCAAAAGGCTTATGCATAGGGAATGGGACACTAGTTCCTCATAGTGACTGAGTATTCTACAAGACACCCCTCTTCCCATGACTCTTACTGAAAGGGGATTGCAATAGCCCCCCCCCGAGAACCTTTGCTCCCTGGTGCCTTGTGGTGGTATCCACGTCCTCCACCTTACTGTAGCCTCCATACTGCGTGACAGCCCACGGCTCCCCCTCTGTTCCATACTCTTGAAAACCGTGGTCTCTGTGTGAGGTTATCTTTTCTAACAAGGGCAGGTGGCTCGGTCAACTTTTTGGAACAGTTAACGATCCAAGATACACCGTAACTTGCGTTTTAGCTGCTCCTGAGCTGGAGTCTATGTCATAGAAGCTGGCAGGAGGCAGCGCCCAGTTAGGGACACACACGCTTGCCGGCGAGAGACACCAACTGCCTTGAGACACCAACTGCCTTGTGTCACCCGAGGGAACTGCTTCCCTCCACACTCATTTCTTCAGGCTGTATAGAAGCTGCTTCTTTACATCAAACTGAGACCCTGCTAATAGGAAGTCTCCAGGCAGTCACCCTCCTTTCAAGACCAAAAGGTGTCTCAAGCAAGGGAGTACCCATGTGAGTTAGTGGGTACCTGGGGTGCTGGGGGCACACAGAGGTGAATGAGCCTGCTTTCAGCGCCAAGGCCACACGCCATGATCCCAATGTGACACCGCCACCACACCCCACTGCGGGATCCACGCCGTTGGCGCTTTCGGATGTCAGGGGGAGCTTTCCGATGTCAGGGGGAGGGCCACTGGCCGGACTGGCCTGCGCCAGGTGTGAAGCCCTTGTATCGGGGAAGGTGATGACACCAGGTCTCGTCCGTGCTTGATGGCGGTGCGCTCTTAGTGAGTGCGGTGTGTGTGATGCCGCCTTGATCTGCACAGGCTCCGTGGGGTCCTAGGGAGCCCCCCTGTGCCAACTGCAGCCTGGGATCCTTGTAGGGAAGTGGGGTATAGACACCTGGGCACAAGTTCTGCGGGTTAACGTGGAATGTTCACTTCACCCGAATTCCCACAGGAGCCTGCCTTTGTTCCGCACATCTCAAGGGAGGAATGAGACAAAATGTTTGGCAGGATTCTTGGCATTTTGTTTGTTTCTCCCGGGGGTGGGGGGGTGTCCAGTGGTTGTGAAAGCAATCTCGTTCCCATTACCGCTCCCAGTGTAGTGTCCCCGCCGTGTCCTCCTCCCAAGTCAAGTGTGTCGCTAACCACTGCAGGGACGGAGTTGCCGGGCATCGGAAAGAGTGTGCCAGTTGCATGGGGGCAAGAGTTTCAGAGTACTTGTAAGACACAATTATCCTTGGAATGTAAAAAAAAATAAAGGAGAGAGAGGAGAGAGAGGGGGAAGAGGAGAGAGCGAGGGGGAGAGGAGAGAGAGAGGGGGAGAGAGAAGAGAGAGCAAGAAAGATGGGGGGAAGAGAGGGAGAGAGGGGGGAGAGAGGAGAGAGAAGAGGAGATAGGAGAGAGAGAGAGAGAAAGACACACACACACACACACACACACACACACACAATTATCCATGTGGCTCGTCTACCCATAGTCTGGCTGCCCCTCCTCTGCCATCCTGTGCTTGTCTTTCAACGTTGCTCGAGTCCTGGGATGTCACCAGAGCCACATCCTGCTTACGGACAGCCAACCTTTGACCTTTTCTCCCCGAATTTCCAGCATATGGCCCCATGTGTTAAACCCTTCCAACTCCATGTCATCACCATTTCCACTTCCTGGTCTACCTGCCGTGTTCCTCTCCCTTCCCCTTCCCCTTGAGGAAGGCCCTAAGAGACTTCAGGCGAGAGACACACACAGAGGCTCCCTTCCTCCCTTCAACTCCATCCGGTCGCCTCTTCCCCCTCGTTGGCTGTAAGTTTTGTCTGCTCGGTGAGATCCCCGCCAGCATTCGGCACCCTCCATTCCCTTTGGAGGAAGGCGGAGTGGAAACTGAGGGTTTGGCACCATCCAGAGATGTAACGAAATCACTCTGACAAGAAACTAGAGTAGGGATCGCATCCCTTCCAATTCCTCACGTTGGAAGAGTCCAATATTGGAATCTGTTACTTCAGAAAAACACAAGGGTTATTGGTGATTTTCTTTTTGTGGTTAAATGATGCCCCTGGAAAAAAACAAAAGGCTGGGTACCCTGTGAAGAGGGGAGCTTTCTGGGCTGTGGGCTTTCGCTGCCCACGACCTCATCTCAGCTCTTTGAAAGATCCCAGAAGAGAATGTGTCATCGAGGGCAAGAAGCTGGTTCTCTGGGATGAACTCCGGTGGTGAGGGTCTGCAGGCATGATGAGAACTTGCCAGGGAACACGCCTCAAACACCAAGGCTGTCTCCACCTCACAGCCAGGGGAAGGGTCAGGTCCCTGAACCCGCAATCCACCTCCCCTAGCCAGAGCTGTTCAAGAGCTGGGTGAACCAGAGACAGGAGCAAACCTGCAGAGAAGGTTGTAGACTTCAGGAAACAGCCTGATTCTAAAATGTCCCTCCTACCAAGAATCATGGGCCCTTCCTAGGCCTGCCCGAAGTCGGCTGTGGTGGCGCACGCCTTTAATCCCAGTACTTGGGAAGCAGAGGCAGGAGAACCTCTGTGAGTTTGGGACCAGCCTGGTCTACAGAGCGCGTTCCAGGATAGGCTCCAAAGCTATACAGAGAAACCCTGTCTCGAAAAACAAACAAACACTATATGTTTAGGTAATACAAGTTTGGCGCCCGGCGGTGGTGGCACACGCCTTTAATCCCAGCACTCAGGAGGCAGAGGCAGGCGGATCTCTGTGAGTTCGAGGCCAGGCTGGACCGACAGCCTCCAAAACAATTCAGAGAAACCCTGTCTCGTAAAACCAAAAAAAAAAAACAAAAAAACAAAAAAAAAAAAAAAACCAAGTTTGGCAAACAGGCTTGCTTATACCATAAACCACAAAATCTGACAGCAACAATAATGACCCCAAAATCTACAAAACTAGCTTCATATATCATTTTGTCAGCTTACATAATACACGACACGTCTGATTTGAGCTTCCTTTGAGCTTTGTTAAGTTTTAGTTCTTCAACTACGGGTTTTACTATTTCGTCTTTGAAGAGTTTATTTGGACTTGTGTTTCCATGCGTTTGTTATGGAGCAGGAGGCATGACTGCAGGCAGAGGATGTGGTGGCAGGAGCAGAAAGCTGAATGCTATCTTCACACGCAAACACAGGAGCCCAGGAGTTTTCCAGTACGTTGTACACCGGAACACAGACAGCATTCCACAGTCAGCTAAGTAAACTACGGGCAGGCTGTGACTTGAAATGATTCTTAGACCTCTGTGCTGGTTGGCTTTGGTCAATGGACACAAACCTAAACCTATCTTGGAAGCGAGAACTTTGAGAAAATGCCTATGTAAGAGGTGTCTGTATGGGAGGGCCCAGCTCACTGCGGACGGTGCCAGCCCTGGGCAAGTGCTCCTGGACGGTATAAAAAAAAGCAGACTGAGCAAGCCATGGGGAGCAAACCAGCCAGAAACACTTCTACATGGCCTCTGCATCAGCGCCTGCCTTGAGTTGACGCCCTGCCTTCCCTCGGTAACCGACTACAGCTTGTCATACAAAATAAAGCCTTCCCATGCCCGGCGGAGGTGGCGCATGCCTTTAATCCCGGCACTCGGGACCGACAGCCTCCAAAACAATACAGAGAAACCCTGTCTCGTAAAAACCAATAAATAAAGCCTTCCCCCAACAAGTTCCTTTTTGCCATGGCATTTTAGCACAGCAGTAGAAACCCTAAGGCATCTGACATGACTAACCCTGCATGCAAGGACGGATGCCCTGTGGCCATGGTTAAGTGTGTTTCCAGGTGTAGAGCTCACTTCACCAAGAGCTGGTAAAAGATGCCTGCGGCAGACATGAAAACCCAGATACCTTTCATACCGAAGATTAATCGAACAAATCAAACCTGCGCAGTGTAATATGTGCTACTGCCAAGGAGGGAGACCCTTAGGAAACGATCTGGAAGTCTTCGGCTGAATTATTAGGGTTAAAAAAAAAACGGAGCGCTGACCACTGCATGTGCCGTATGCTGTCATCTGCAGAAGGAGCAAGAGAGACTCACACTACGGCAGGCACCACGTGCTCTCCTCAGGGAGACCTTTTATTGTTGGCACAGCCTAGGAAGGGAGGGGATGATCCTAGCATCTCACACAGGGATCCAGGACACACTCAAATCATAGCGCGTCGCCACAGCGATTTCTGCAAAGGACAGAGCTGGGTGGCTTGCCCCCGCTGCTCAGACCGCCTTCTGAACGCCAGCATCCCACGGTCTTCTTTGCACGCTGACAGAAAGAGGCTTGGAGTAAGCCACAGTGAGAAAGCTTAACCAGTCGCTGGCACTTGAGCGATTTGATGCTCGCTCGCTCGTCTTGAGAAGGCGCCTTTCCACTCCCCACCACCCCACCCCTCCCTTACTGCCCAGCAGCTGCTTCTGTGACCTTAGGAGTCTCCAAATGTCACAATGAACAGAGTGACTCAGCTACTTACCCTCCACTAAATCACTGGCACCCTCCAGATCCAGAGCTGGGCCTGGGGTCTACCAGGCGAATGACGCTGGGCCCTCATTGGTCAGTGACAGAGGCAGTTCTTTAAGCGGACTATGGGAAGCCAGGTGGTAAGTGCAGCTGTGGACCCACCCAGTCACGGGGCATTCCGACAGTCCAGTGACGGCGGGAAACGGGCCTCGCGGTGCCTGCCATGCAGAGGGCTGCCTGATGGATGGGTAATAAGGAGCTCGAGGCTGCCTGGTGGGGGGTGACAGTGTGTGGCTCATACCTCCCCATGGGGTGGGGACACACTTCCGTCTCCTCTGGGGCTGTTTCGGGAAGGTAGAAGCCAGCCACCGTGGCTGACCACCTCTCTGTCACCACGGACAGTCCCGGCCCCCTCTCCCTCTTCTACACCTCTGCCCTTCCATCCCAGGCTCCCACAGGTACCTAGCCCTGACGCTGGTCCAGCCCCCCGCTGTCTGGGGACCTCCTTCCTCCAGCTCCACACGTCCATCACGGAGGGCCTCCAGAGAGAAACTGCAAAGCGGGGAGAGGAAGGCGGGAGAGCTTCCTCTTGTGCTTTTCGGAACCAGGGCCTGTGCACCAAAACCGAATGATGAAAAATAAGTGAAAAGTCAAACAGGATTCCAGTCTACACCGCCAGGGATGGCCTCTTCCTGCCACAACAGGCCTGCCAAGCCTTGAGGATGCCATCATCCAACCCAGACATCCCTAAGCAGGTACAGACAGTCCCTGGAGACCAGCCGTGAAACGTGGGACCCCATCATTAAGCAGACTGTTTCCATGCGCACCCTCTCTTCCTCCCGCTCTTCTCTCTCCATCACCCCACTTTCCTTGAGATGAGTTCACTATGTACCCCAGGCTGGCCTGTAGCTTTCTGTCTGTGCTTTCCAAATGCTGAGGTGGCAGACGTGTGCCACCGTGCCCAGCCACCCACGACATTTTAGATGAGTAAGTTCTCTGCATCACAGAGATTGAACCTAGGGCCCTGGCGTGGCAGGCACACTCTTTATCACAGAGCCGCGAGTCCCCAGACCCATGCGAACCCTGCTGCGTGAGACTTCACCGCTTCTCATCCTGTCCTCTCCGCCCCCGCCGCCCTCCACACGGTGTCTTCTGCGCCTTGTTTCTTCCTCATGAGCCGCCTCACGTTTCAGACTGCCGGGAGCTTCCACAGGCACACTGAGCTACGGCAGATGGCTCACAGGCCTCAGCCTGAGCCATGGCCGGAGTTTCCTACAAACTCATTTACCAGTCCACGACGGCACATATTTTCTCTCCTGTACAAAATGCTGACAGACTCGTCCTGTGCAATTACATCAGGGTTCACTCTCGACTTCTCACACGTTTCTCGCTGCGCTGGGGTGTGCCTGCAACATGGGTTAGAGTCTGTCTCAGAGCCTGTAAGCTCCCCAACTCTCCCAGGACAGCCAGTATCACAGGCCTCTCCTTACGCCTCTCATGGCTACCAAACCCACGAGGAGAGTCTGTATTTAATGCTATATAATAATCTGCCCAAATCTAGGGCTCAGTGTGTGTGTGCGTGCGTGTGTGCATGTGTGCATGTGTGTTGTGTGTGTGCGCGCATGCGTGTGTGCGTGCGTGCATGTGTGTGTGTGTGTGTGTGTGTGTGTGTGTGTGTGTGTGTGTGTGTGGTGTGTATGTGTGTGTTTCCTCTCTGTTTGGGCTCAGCTATGCTGGCTCACATAGCTGTGGTAGACCTGGAGTCAGGCCTGAGGCTAAGTGAACCAAGCTGGTTTTCTTACATGTCTAATGGTTGCTGTGGGCTTATAGTTCCATCTGAACTCTTCAGGAAAAAGCCTCACCCCTGCATGGAGACACAGGCTTCTGTAAATGTGGTGAAAAGCCCAGAGCCTCTGTGGCCCAGACACCACCATGTGGACCGTTTCTGTCCCGCTTGGTCCCACAGCCCTTGAACCCCAAATAAATACACAGACGCTATATTAATTATAAACTGTTTGGTCGATGGCTCGGGCTTCTTATTGGCTAGCTCTCTCTTAATTATCAACCCATTTCTATTAAACTATATGTTGCCGTGAGGCTGTGGCTTACCCATAATGCTCTGGCATGTTACTCCTTCAGTGGCTATATGGCGTCTCTCTCTGGCAACTCACTCTCTGCATTCCTCATCCCCGAATCTTCCTAGTCTGGTAGCCCCGCCTATACTTCCTGCCTGGCTACATCCTGCCTGTCCATTGGCTGAAACAGCTTTATTCATCAACCAATAAGAGAAACATATACTCACAGCATACAGAAGGACTTCCCTCATCATCTCTTTTCTGTCTAAATGAAAGGAAGGTTTTAACATTAACATAGTAAAATTATATGTAACAAAACAGCTATCAAGGAAGAACTATAGTTAACAATATTTAGTCCATTAACATTTGGCAAAATTTAAAGAAAATATTCTATTATCTATCCTATCTTTGTGAGTCTAAAGTTTAATATGTAACTTATCTTTTATCATAACTAAGGAAAACCATAGCTGTAACATTTGTCTTCAACTCCATCAAAGACCACAGAAGGATAATATATAAATTCTAGACAGAGACACCTCACTGCCTGGAGGATAGTCACCCAAAGTTCCTCTGTAACACTGGGGCATTCCTCCCTCTTCAGCTTATAGGCCCAAAACATCTGGAAGACTTTTTGATGAATCAGGAACCTTGAAGAATCCTACTGTCCCTTGGCAAGTTCAGCAGTCACTTTTCTTTGTAACTTGCTTGTCCAGTTTGGACAATATACTGTCAAGTAGTCCAGGCAAGAGCAATTTCTTGTCCAAATGGCTATCCTTGCCCAAATGGCTATCCTTTACGTGTTGAAGGCAAACACTATAACGAGTTTCTTCCAAGCCCATCTTCCTCTCTGACATAATTGGTGTTGCCAGGAGCAGTTGTGTCTCATTGTCATGAAAAACCTTAATAAAAACCGTTTTAAATGCCATATTCTGTGGGTCTTTGAAAGGTTTTGAAGAATTCCTATCCATTTGAAATATATCTCTGTATATCTAAAAAACCTAACTGACATAACTATAAGTTTTGACTATTATAGGTGACTACCTATTATCTGTATTTAATTATACATTACATTTTAAAATGAGCCGTATAAACACAATATCTAAACAAGAGTAGCAATATACATATAACAAACTTGACCTTAAATTTCTGTCAATAAATCAAAATCCATACCAATGCAAAGTATTCATTTTCATATCATATTCTTTTTTTCTTTAGAAAGAGATTGTGATCCTTAACCATTTATAACCAACCCCATTTAAAGGAAACCAACATTTGTAAACAATATTTGGGAATGTGGGCATAGTTCTCTCCAAACTGCTTCCTGCTATTTGGGGGCACTGTCAATCCTTTGGGGATCCTGAGAAAACACAGAACCATGGCCAAATCCTGGCTGTAGTGGTCCCGAGGCTGCATTGCCTTAGCTGTTTTGGATGTTGGGTCACCTGGGACACTGCTTCAGGGGGTCTTGCTTGATCAAACCATATTAGTTTGGAAGGAATCCACAACTTTTCATCTGTGAAAACAAAAGCAAAAATTCTTTTCCAAAGTAACATGTCTTCAGACTTGACTTTTGAAGTCAAGACATTCTCAAAGCATATAAGTTGGGTTAATCCAGCAGCATTTATAATCAAATGTCTGTTAGCAGCTGCTGCTCTTTCCTCAGCAAACAAACACTTCAAAGAGAACACAATAACGTGCAGTATGCAGATTCTTTATGTAGTTTTTATCTTTACGTGGATTTTTTTTATTACTTTGCTCCTTTTGCATTTACTTATTTATTTGAGACAGGGTTTCTATGTGTAACTTTGGCTGTCTTTGAACTCACTCTGTAGACCAGGCTGGTCTCAAACTCAGAGATCTGCCTGCCTCTTCCTCCTAAGTGCTGGGATTAAAGGTGCATGCCACCACACCCAGCTATTTCTTTTTAAAGGACTTTCTTTTTAAAAAACACACTGTAAACCCTGTAGAGGTTTTTACTCATCTGAATCTGTCTTTACTGTATATCCCCATCTTTTTCTGACCGTGAGTCTTGAGTCTGCTAAACTGCATGGCGAGGATTGAAGCGGATGTTTTGGCTAACTGGCTTCACCCAGTTAGGGTCCAACATGGTGTGCGTTTACTGCCAGCTCTGGTAGCTGTGCTCACCGCCTCGACTCTGGTCTGCGCTGCCATCAAGCAGCTTGTAGCACACTGCCCATAAACCCTTTTTGCCTGTATGAGTCAAACCTGAATCTGCAGCGAGCAGCATGCTGTGCGGCTTGGAGAAGGCCTCTGAGCACCGCGGCGGAGATCCTCCACACTGTGCTTGAGCAGGACAGTCCCAGCGTCTATGTACCCACGGCCCGTTGAGACTGCGAGACCAGGAAGCCCCGTGCAGCCCCGCGTTTCTGTGCGCATTCAGAACCCTTTTTAAGCCTTTGTCGGGTTCTACTTGCAAATTCTTGCCAAACATCTGGCGCCTCTGTGGCCAGCTAGTGGCACGCTCCAATCCCCGACCTTCAGACAGGCTTCATTTGTACAAGCTAGACGTCACCACACTGTGCCATTCGCTAGTGTCGGAAGCCAGCCAAAGTCAGATGTGGGCATGTACTTAACACAGAGGGAACTCTGAGAATCCTGGGGTGGCTTTATTTCCCCCTACAAAACGGTCAGCATTTCCTTTTTCTTTAAAATGTTCGTTTTTTTTTTGCTATTGTTATCATGAGCTTTTTTTTCTTCCTCCTACATGAGTACTTTTTCTGGGTAAGGAGGTGATTCTTTTCCTTAGGTGAAGTAAAGGTAAATCGAAATATTAGGCAACGAAACAGAGTGGTTGGTGCAGTGTTCTTGAGAACAAGACTAAGCCCTGGAATATATTTTGTGCAAAACTTTGAAGTGTGCCAGATGGTCGTGGCACACATTTTAATCCCAGCACTCGGGGGAGGCAGAGGCAGGCGGGTCTCTGTGAGTTCAAGACCAGCCTGGTCTACAGAGGGACTTCCAGGACAGCCAGGGTTACATGAAGAAATCTTGTCTTGAGAGAAGAAAAAAAAATGAATTTGGAGTGCTGAGATAAAGATGGTTGGTTTGAACATAATTAACTTAACTAGCATAACCGGATAAGAGGGAAAAAAATTAAGAATAAGATGGCAACACTTTAAAGTATCCCGTCCACAAAGTTCACTGTGATACTGATTCCTATCTTTTTTTTTTTAATCAGAGAGTCCAAAGGTTTGTTTTTTAAAGATTTATTTATTTATTTATTATGAACACAACATCCTGCCTCCATGTCTGTCTGCACACCAGAAGAGGGCACCAGATCTCATTACAGATGGCTGTGAGCCACCATGTGGTTGCTTGGAATTGAACTCAGGACCTCAGGAAGAGCAGTCAGTGCTCTTAACCTCTGAGCCATCTCTCCAGCACGATTCCTGTCTTTCTACCTGACCTTTGGCCTTTGATTTTGGTCTTCCCCTTTGTCGCCTTTCCAGGAGCTTGAAGATTCAGATCCTCACACCATGTCCCTCCCCGGACATCACACGGGTGCTCAAGACAGCGGCACACCATCGTCTTTCAAATGCTCGGTACGAACTTGACAGCCTGCTACTGCACACAGGCAACTAACTTAACATTAAAGAACCATAGGAGACCAAACCATGGGCGTCCACAGACTCACCCAGGCGTGGTCTGGAGTGCCAGAGCTTCAGAAAAACACTTTATGTGCATGAGTGTATGTGTGCCTGGTGTCCACAGAGGCCGGAAGAGACCCCAGATCCTCTGGAACTGGAGTTACAGACCGTTGTGAGCCATGGTGTGGGCGCTAGGAACGGAACCCGGGTCCTCTGGAAGAGCACCGCCTCCATAGCCCCCTTGAGTTTGTTTTTTTTTTTTTTCTTGCCACCGCACGACCTAGCTCTCCAGGAGCTGGGCAACACCCAGGTTATGCCTTTTTTTTTTTTCCTGATGGAAACCTTCTCTAAAGAGACCTGCTAGTTTCAGCTCACTCTGTTGTTGTTGTTGTTGTTGTTGTTGTTTTGCAACACAATGCCCAAGAGCAAAAGGAGACTGCTTTGGGCCCCTGGACCCAGCAGCTGGGTAACTGACTTAATTTTGCTCTTTTGTTTGTCTTCTTTCCACCCTGGGGGGGGGGAGCATTTATGACTGAGCAGCTCCCCCAGGGAAATGACATAAATTAGGCTGCAACCTGAGATAGTGGACTGTCTGGCTTCCCAGCTAAGGGCCACAGATACCTCTCAGGAATGCCCTGATCTGTAGACAGGACACTCTAAAAAGCAAGATTTTAGTCATTCTCCATAGGACTTAGGTGTGTGGGGGGGGCTGCGGGCAAGGGGATACTGTGAGGAATGGCTTACAGTTTTGTTCTGCAAAACAAAGATTTCCAAACACTCAATAATGCAGTCATTTACTTAGAAAATTACTCTGATGACGGTTACAATGTAAGAAAAGCAGCTCGAGAGAAAGATGCCATTCGACAGGGTTTAAATAGGGTTTTTTAAATTTTTATCAGGGGAAGGGATTATAAAAAGGGGAAAGGGGAGGGGGACACTGGTCTGAAGGGACGGGGGAAGGGGGGAGGGAGGGGGAGGAGGAAGGAGAGGGAGAGGAGGAGGGAGAGGCAGAGGTGAATAGGCCCAGGTGGTGCTCTTGGTGTCTGCAGCTGAGGGCATATCTTTGTCAGAACCCCAAGGACAGGCCAGCACAGATGCCTGAATACTAAAAGATGACAGCCTTGCATTCTGGAATATTCTGAGCTCTTTGGACACCAGGGCAAAACTCTGGTGTCTACATGATCTGTCTTACTTTCTTCCAAACAAGGCCACAGCCCACTTCAGCCATCTTTCTGCAAAGCCATGCAGAATGGTAGAGCTGGACAGGTCTCAAAAGCCACCAAATCCAAACCTAAACAGCTTATTTCTTTAGTAATGGGTGTAAAGGATGTGTCTTTTTGTCTGTTTTTGTTTTTTTCTTTTTCTTTTTTTGGTTTTTCAAGACAGGGTTTCTCTGTAGCTTTGGGGGCTGTCCTGGAACTCATTTTGTAGACCAGGCTGGCCTCGAACTCACAGAGATCCGCCTGGCTCTGCCTCCCGAGTGCTGGGATTAAAGGCGTACGCCACCAACGCCCGGCTGTTTTTGTTTTTTTCAAGACAGGGTTTCTCTGTGTTTCTTTGGCTGTCCTGAACCTAAGCTCTGTAGACCAGAGATCCCGCCTGACCTTGCCTCACCAATGCTGGGATTAAAGGCAGAAGACTCTGCTGCCTGGCTAGGGCTGTGTCTTAAATCCATCTTTTGGATGACGAACCTGGCACGCTGCCACGTTCTCTCCGCCACATTCTGCTACTGATGTGGTTTACCGAGGCAATGAGACCTTGCGAAAGATGAATCCTCCTGACAGGAGAGGTTGATCTCACGGCTCCCACGTCTCTCCCCGACACAGATGTCAGCCTTATACGAGTCCGCAGAGAACTTTAGTAAAGAGAGCAAGAAGTCAAATTTCCAAAAGATCTGCGGCACCTCATTTGAGGAAGCTCGGCAACTGCTTGGTAAAAACCCCGCCTTGAGAAAAAGCGAGCCCCTCCCGGCCATCCAGATCCCCGCTAAGAAGGAGGAGCAGAAGCCCAAGTCCATGGCGAACCTGCTTCAGCACAGCCTGCTGATGGGCTCCCTGGTCCCCCTGGAGCAGTTATCCCAGATTCAGCAGAGGCTGATCCATGCGGGCATCCCTCCTCCGGAGCACACCTTTCCGTACGCATTCAGGACCGACGAGCCCATGGTGACTCCGACACCGCCCACCTACAGGAAGAGGACTCCAAGTGCCACCTTTCGCAAACTCCTCCTGGCTTCTGTTACCCCGGACAGGCTGGACTTTGAAGATAAAACGGTTCGATTCTTCCCCTCCGAGGCAGGTAAAGAGACTCACCGGGGGTGGGGTGGGGTGAGGAGGGGCGGGGGGGGGGGGAGTGGAGGGCGAGGATATGCAAACCTTGCTGAGAATCTAGGTCCATCTCCAGAGAAGAGTATGTCAAGTATTGACCTATGGAAATCTTGCCTGTTGTAGGGTTCGTAGCTAGTGCTGTTGCTGCCTATGGTGGCGATGAAGCCAAGAAGAGGGTTTTACGTTTTCCATCCTGTGAATGGTACACACCTACGCGCCAGGGACTGAGGCAGGAGGATTGTCAGTTTGAAGCTAACATGGGCAATTTAGCCTGTGCAATTAAGCTAGACCCAGCCTAAAATTAAACAGGGGCAGGGGAGACATAGCTGGGGGAGCAGTCGCTCATAGTAGAATACTTGTCTAGCATGCTCAAGGTTTAGGGTTCAACCCTGAGAACAACAAAAGAATAAAATGAGACAATCTAGGGCCAAGGCTCACATGCATCTCTGAGAGGTGGCTATGAACAGGCCTGTCAGCTCCCAAGCACCCACCACTACTTGCTTTTCTGCGTGCTGGGCTTGTTGGATTATCTTTTGCAATTTCCTTGACTTTATTGCCTTTCACAGTTGGTGGCATGCATGTGTGTTTGTGTGAGTGTGTGAGTGTGAGTGTGTGTGTGTGTGTGTGTGCGTGTGTGTGTGTGTGTGTGGTGTGTGTGTTTGTGTGAGTGTGTGAGTGTGAGTGTGTGTGTGTGTGTGTGTGTGTGTGTGTGTGTGTGTGTGGTGTGTGTGTTCCCTAAAGCTTTCCTGACAGTTTTTTCTCTTTCAGAGAGGATCAGTGAGGGGAAGAAACTCAGTAGTGTGTACAAGAGGTAGTATTTAGTCCAGGGGCTATGGGTTGCAGTTGCCAGAAAGGAGAAGGCGCCTTGGCTCATTAGAGATTCATTCTTGTCTGTGGAACGTGCCAATGTGTGATTCTTTCAAAATATGATCTTTCTAGGAAAGCAATTCCTGGACCTAGTGGACCTGGAGTGGAGGTATTTCAAGGGGCTTGCGAAGTGGGGACGCATGCCCAGGAAGTTTTCAGTCATGGACATAGAATTCACCAGTGAGAAGAGATTCGTGGAGAGCCAGGGCATGCCTGGGTTGATTTTCCCTCCTCTAGTTCGTAAGACTTTGGAGACATACCCTCAGGTCGACTCTCATAAAGAGAGATTTTTATTGTCTAAAATGGCATGTATAGAAGAGGATTTGGATTGTGACGTTTGAGAACATTAAACTTACATGGGAGACAGAGAAGCACGCAACCCATTCTTTTACGCAACAACTATGCAAAGCCTAAACCCAAGCGTTCTCTTGGAGGAAAATGCCCACCTGATCCGCTAACCTTAGCCCTGCTTCACGCTCATCTGAACCAGGAATGGAGACTTGAAAACAACTCTCAAGCAAGAGCGAATCTTTACAAAGGTTTCTTGCTTGCACAAGCCTCCAAGTTGAAGCCCACTGTCCCACTCCTCCCAACGTTAAATGCATAGGAATTCCATCCCATAAAAAGAGCTGAGCAAGCCGGGCAGTGGTGGCGCACACCTTTAAGCCCAGCAGTCGGAAGGCAGAGGCAGCCTGGTCTACAGAGCCAGTTCCAGGACGGCTAAGGCTACACAGACAAATCCTGTCTCGAAAAAAATAAAACCAAAAAGGGGGGAGGGGTAGGAGAAGAAGAGCAGCACTGTGAAAGAAGAAAAAGTTAAAAATGGGCGCAGAGATCAGGGTGAGAAAATAAAGAAGGAAGCGGCACCTATAGAACAAGAGCCGCGCTGGGCGGTGGTGGCGCACGCCTTTAAGCCCAGCACTCGGGAGGTAGAGGTAGGCGGATCGCTGTGAGTTCGAGGCTGGGCTGGACCAACAGCCTCGAAAACAATACAGAGAAACCCTGTCTCGTAAAAAACAAAACAAAACAAAACAAAAAAACAAGAGCCGCGCGGTCGGAAAAGGAACAAACCGGGAATCTTGGACGTGAACAATAAATCATTAAGATAGTAACAACAGTAACCCCCACCCCCCAAACCTGGGTACTTCTGAAGAGACAGGCTAATGATTGGGAAAGCTGTACCGACAAGCTTCTAGCTATAGATTAAAAAAAAAAAAAGGAACCTATGAAACATCCTGTATAGCAAATAGATAAGGCAGAAGACAACAGTAACAGAAAGGAGGTGATTTCAACTCAGCATCGAGCATTTCACGATAAGACATAAAGAAAAGGCATGGAGCGGTGACTTGGTGGGAGAGTGCACTTGTCCAGTATGAATGAGGCCCAGGGTTCCAGCCCCAGTAGCCAGAGAGAGAGAGAGGAGAGAGAGAGAGAGGAGAGAGAGAGAGGAGAGGGAGAGAGAGAGAGGAGAGGGAGAGAGAGAGAGGGAGAGAGAGACAGAGAGGAGGGAGAGAGGAGAGGAGAGGAGGGAGGGAGGGAGAGACAGAGAGGAGGAAGAGGGAGAGAGAGAGGAGAGGAGAGGAGGGAGGGAGAGAGAGAGAGAGGAGAGAGAGAGAGGAGAGAGAGAGAGAGAGAGGAGAGGGAGAGAGAGAGGAGAGAGAGAGAGAGGAGAGGGGGAGAGAGAGAGCAGAGGGAGAGAGGGAGGGAGAGAATAATGAAACGACACAATTATTATTCAGAAGTGAAGAAACACGTGAGACTTCACATGGAAAACTTTCCTAATGTCACTAGCAAGGAAATTAGAAATAAACACCACCCCTGGCAACAGGGTAGCGAGACTGCCGAGCGTTCAACAGCAAGGGAAACAGAGACTTCCAAAGAAGGATGAGTGTCACTCAAATGAATACATTGAATAATGCTGAGTGGAACTTACTCAGCATTAAACACTGGAAGGGCAAAGCTCACACACTCAGAGACTGAGGGAAGTCAGCCACCAAGCAGACAAACTCCCTTTGAAGAGCTGAAAGCCCAATAAATGTATTCAAAAATATAAGAGCCTAAGAGTGCTTACTGTCTTCCATCTATCCACTCAGGACACCCGAAACAAGCTCTAGTAAAACAAGGACAGCCGTCGCCCGGAAGAAATGGAAGCGATGCAGAAGAACGGGAGAAGTATTAACTTCATCTGCGTATGTGATTGTGCACGTACACTCACGTCTATTAGTATACACCCTAGACTTTAATTTTTGGAACGTGCTCAAGCTGAGACTGTCAGCACAGGCCTGCACACCCAGTACTCAGGATAACAGGAAAAACAAAAACAAAAAACAAAAAAACGGGCGTGGCAACATATCGGGTTATACAGTGGGGCTGTGTGTTTTTTTTTAAGGGGGGGTGTGGTAGCACATCGCTGTAATCTCAGAACTCCCGAGGCAGCCAGACTTTTTGAGTCCGAGGCCAGCCTGGCCCACGTGGTGAGTTCCAGGACAGCCAGAGCTACCCAGTGGGACCCTGCATCAGCAATGCCGATCAAGAACGAAGGGTTCCGTGTCAGTGTAATTACTACTCGCTTCCTCCTCCTCTTTCGTTATTTTTTTTTTCTGGCGTGAGGTCTTATATGGCCCTGGCTGGCCTGGCATTTGTTATGTGGCCCAAACAGACCTCTGCCTGACGTCAGTTCCCTTGCTTCAGATTTTCAGTTGTGAGAAACATAGGTGTGCACCACCGTGCTTAGCTGAATTTATTTATCTATTTACTTATTTATTTATGAACTTTATTTAAATTAGAAACAATCTTATTTTACATATCAATCTTAGTTCCCTCTTCCTTCCCATCCTCCCATGCCCCCCTCTGGCCCCCGCATCCCATCCCCCACCCACTCCCCAGGGAGAGTGAGGCCTTCCATGAGGGATCATCAAAATCTGTCAAGTCATTTGGGGCAGGGCCTAAGCCCTCCCCTGTGTATCTAGGCCGAGAGAGTATCCTTCCACGGGAAATGGGCCCCTGAAGTCCATTCGTGGACTAGGGATACATCCTGGTTCCCCTATGAGAGGCCCATAGACTGCCCAGTGCTCCTAGCTGATACCCACGTTCAGGGGGCCTCGTTTGGTGCTACGTTGGTTTTCCAACTGTCAGACTGGGGTCCATGAGTTCCCACTTGCTCAGATCAGCTGTGTTTGTGGGTTTTCCCGGCATGGTCTTGGCCCCTTTGTTGGTCACTCCTCTCTCTGAAAGTGGATTCCAGGAGTTTAGCTCAGTGCTTGGCTGTGGATCTCTGCTTCTGCTTCCATCAGCTACTGGATGAAGGCATTTAAGGTAGCCATCATTCTCATTATAGGGGATGGGCATTTAAGGTAGTCTCTCCACTACTGTTTATGATCCTAGTTGGGGTCATCCATGTGGATCTCTGTACAATTCCCTAGTGTCAGATTTCTCTTTAACCTATAGTGGCTCCCTCTATTGATGTGTCTCTTTCTCCTCCCTCCCTCTCCCCCATACTCCCCAATTGTTCAGGGTCTCTTGTCCCTTCTGCTTCACTAGGGGACCTGTATGTCTCTCTTAGGGTCCTCTTTGTTTCCTAGCTCCCCTGGAGGTGTGGATTGTAGGCTGGTGATCCTTTTTACCATGTCTAATAACCATACATGAGTTAGTACATACCGCATTTGTCTTTCTGTGACTGGATTACCTCACTTAGGATGGTTTCTTATAGTTCCATCCATTTGCCTGCAAATTTCAAGATTCCATTGTGTAACCCCAGCACTCGGGAGGCAGAGGCAGGCGGATCTCTGTGAGTTCGAGACCAGCCTGGACTACCAAGCGAGTTCCAGGACAGCCTCCAAAGCCACAGAGAAACCCGGTCTCAAAAAACCAAAAAAAAAAAAAAGATTCCATTGTGTCCCCCCCCTCTGCTGAATAGTACTCCATTGTGTAAATGTACCACATTTTCTCTATCTACTCTTCGGTTGAGGGGCATCTAGGTTGCTTCCAGGTTCTGGCTATTACAAATAGTGCTGCTATGAACATAGTTGAACAGATGTCCTTGTGTATGAATGCGCCTCCTTTGGGTATATGCCTAAGTGTGGAATTGCTGGATCTTGAAGTAGACTGGTTCCCATTTTCTGGAGAAACTGCCATTCCGATCTCCAAAGTGGCTGTACAAGTTTGTACTCTCACCAGCAATGGAGAGGTGTTCCCCTTTCTCCACATCCTCTCCAGCATAAACTGTCATTGGTTTTATTGTTTTGATTTTAGCCATTCTGACAGTTGTAAGATGATATCTCAGAGTTGTTTTGATTTGCATTTTCCTGATGGCTAAGGATGTTGAACAATTTCTTAAGTGCCTTTCCGCCATTTTAGATTCATCTCTTGAGAGTTCTTTATTTAGTTCTGTACCCCACTTTTTAGTTGAACTATTTGGTGTTTTGGTGGCTAGCTTCTTGAATTCTTTGTGTATTTTGGAAATCTGCCCCCTGTCTGATGTAGGGTTGGTGAAAATCTTTTCCCATTCTGTGGGCTGCTGTTTAGTCTTGTTGACTGTATCTTTTGCCTTAAAGGAACTTTAGGAAGCATCACCATCCCTGACTTCAAGCTCTACTATAGAGCTATAATAATGAAAACAGCTTGGTATTGGCACAAAAACAGACAGGTAGTCCAATGGAATGGAATCGAAGACCCTGATATTAACCCACACACCTATGAACACCTGTTCTTTGACAAAGAAGCTAAAACTATACAATAGAAAAAAGAAAGCATTTTCAACAAATGGTGCTGGTGTAACTGGATGTGGACATGTAGAAGATTGCAGATAGATCATACCTATCGCCATGCACAAAACCTAAGTCCAAATAGATGAAAGCCTTCAACATAAATCCAGCCACACTGAACCTCTTAGAAGAGAAAGTGGGAGAAGAGAAAGAACGAATTGGTACAGGAGACCGCTTCCTGAACATAACGCCAGTATCACAGACACTGAGATTGACAATAAATGGGTCCTCCTGAAACTGAGAAGCTGAATTTATTTTTGGCAGGTGAAGTGCTCAGACAGTGCCCGAGACTGAGTTGTTGTGAAGTTTCTCGTGTGAGCGCTGTAACAGTACATGGGGGTGAGTTTTTGTGAATTTTTGCATGCGAGTGCTCGGGTAGTGCCTGGGAGTGAGTTTATGTGATGTTTTCATGTGAGTGCTGTGACTGCCATGGTGTGAGTTTTGGTGAAGTTGTGCCTGTGAGTGCTGTGACACTGCCCGGGCATGAGTTTTTGTGTACTTTCGCATGTGAGTGCGCAGACCATGCACTGGAGTGAATTTTCCTGAAGTTTTGAGTGTGATTCCTGAACACTGCTGTGGTTTTTTTTTTTTAATGAAGTTTTTCATGTGATTCCTGGACACTGCTGTGGTGTTTTTTTTTTTTTAATGAAGTTTTTCATGTGATTCCTGGACACTGCCATGGTGTTTTTTTTTTTAATGAAGTTTTTCATGTGATTCCTGGACACTGCCGTGGTGTTTTTTTTTTTTTTAATGAAGTTTTTCATGTGATTCCTGGACACTGCCATGGCGTGGTGTTTTTTGGTGAAGTTTTGCATGTGAGTGCTGTGATACTGCCTGGGAATAAGTTTTTAGTGCAATCTTGCCTCTCATGCCTAAGAATATTATACATTTATTGTGCATCTCAGAAAAACATGGGCATATTATTTCTTGACCACAA